TTTATAAATATGTATTTTGTCCAATCTTTAGTGAGGGCCACTTTCTGAATAAAAAGGTTTTCCCCATGAGAATACTTAAAAATGCTGTCAGACATTCAGATGTGTCCCGAAGCCAATCCCTGGCTTAAGGAGTCTTCAAAGCAAGGGTTAGTCACTATGAATAATTACCTGAATTTTCTCCATCATTACCTAGTGTTCCATTACAGGTGTTCTGACATTCTCTCTGTATGAGACAATGTGGAAAGCACAACTCCTAGTCAATTATGTGAAGTACCTTTGGAGCTACAATATGTCTTTGCCACACTTAATAGTCATAGAAATACTTTAGATCAGAGATTCAGTTCCGTGTTTCCATTTGTTTATTTTGAATTTTCCCTCAAATGAGGATGTTTCCATATCCCATAAGAAGCAATAGTTCATTTACTGTAAAAAAAATTAATTTAGCCTACCTATACAATATCAACAGGAAAGTTTAGACACTCTACTTTTAATACAATTTTCTTTTTAATTAAAGATTTAGAGGCTCTGTGAATAATATGTGAGAATCAAAATCAAAAGAGTAAACTTTTAGTATTATTTATTGTTATTAATTACATAAAGCTGGTTAAACCCCAATCCCTAAAGCATACCACTATCCTAATAAAAATAATTATATGTGTCCCTTAAAGAGGGATGCATGTCTTGTTTTTGTTTCTTTTCTTTTGAAATACATACCTTTCACCCAACAATTAAATTGCTGGCTTTCTCCTCACAAGTCATCATGTTGAAATCAGTGGGAATGATAATAATTCCTAACACATGACTGTTTGCTACAACAGAGACAGGGTTTAATAATAATCTGCAACTCTGATGACACAGTTTGCAATACAATCCAGATTGCAATATACTCCTCTATATATTTGCTCAGAAGATTTACTTATTTAATGGGATTTAGTCCTTACCATGTTTCGCCCAAAATAAGACCCACCCAGAAAAATAAGCCTGATTTTTTAGCGTGTGCCACAAAAATAAGCCTGGGGTGGGCAGGCGTGGCCAGCACAGGAGGCAGCGTGCAGGGGCCGATGGTGCAAGTAAATCAGAGCACTGTGACCACCAGGCCGTCCCTCCAAGCAGAGGTGTGGGGGGGAGGCAGGCGTTTGGAAGGCTTGCGGAAGGCTTGCCACTGGCAACAGCAGAGGCACGGGGGGGGGGGAAGAGGCAGGTGATCCAGACATGCCGTGGGCCGCCTGGCTCAGAGGAAGCTTGTGGTAAGCTTGCGTGGCAGCACTGGCAACAGGTTGGAGGCAGAGGCACGAGAGGGAGGGAGGCAGGCGATCCGGACGCGCTACGCTGTTCTCAGAAAGTCACAGGAGCTAGACTAGAGCCACTTCAAATATGACCTGCATCCGAACAGATGTTGGACTGCATGCTGAAGCAGACTGATGTTTGTGCAACTATCAGAAAGTGAATGCATCTGGTTAAAGTTCTTTGGGGTTAAAGTTCTTCAGAGTACTTTATCAATGGAATCTCATCGGCTGATTAAGACAAAGTTCAGAAGCCTGGTGATTCAGACAACCTCTGTTTGCATAGAGCTCTGTCTGGTTAAAATGAGCCTTATACTCAGATCCACAATCCACCACAAAAGTTGCCTTGTGTATACAAAAGGTGTGGAGAATATATGACTTTATTAGAACAGAACACTGGAACTATTCCAGTTTAAGTATGCCATGCTAAATTAGTGAGCTAATTGCTTTAGATCTGATATGCAATGCAGTCCTTATCTCTGGTTCATCAATGATACATCAACTTTGCACAATCTGAAGATAACAATAGAAGACAAAGGGTGCCTTTGGGTAGTACCTAGCATGTTCATCGGAGAGGTTCATATAGTAGAAAATAGGTTAATGAATCCACCAATTGCAGAAAAAAGTTAAGTTTGGAAGGAGAAAACATCTCTATTTAAGGAAACACTGGCGATTAATTATCTGCCATCATTAAATGCCTTGTTATTTTGATTGCTAGTATCTTTGCCTTTAAAATTTTGGGTGATTAGAGATTAGTGATTATTCTTAGTGGATCTACACCAAATGAAAAAGGAGCTCAGTGATTCAAAGATTCTGGTAATAAAAATGTGGAAGTTTCCAATAAAGTTCTTAAATATACTATATTTCCTACAAGAAAGACAATTCTCTTTTCTTTTACCTATTTGGTTTACTTACAAATGGCAGAATAAGCCGTGATGATGTAGTACAGATTTACAGAAAGCAAGCTTTTTAATAAATAACAGCTGGAGGGCTTTAATATCAATACCTTTTCAGAACTGTGAATGAAGCTAACTTTCACTTGGATATGCTTTGGCAGCCGAATTTACTTCATAAAGTTGTATGGAATGGTGAAGATGGGTGAAGTAGATAATTTTTCAAAATTCTTTTTTTTAATAGATATTTTATTGGTTTTTAACTATAACAATCTCCAGTGCCTGGTGTACAGCGTGTTGTCTTGGTTTATATTTTAACAAGAAAAAAAGGACAGTAATAATTAACTGTCAATAATAATTAAATTTGATAATTCCATAATTAATATATTAATAATACATTTCTTTGATCTTCCCTTCTCCTATTTGTATTTTCGTTCGTCAACCTTAGCCAAAATATAATTCTTAATATTTTCAATATATAAATGATTAGGTATAAACATTTTTTATATTTATACAAATAATAATAATCTGTATATATAACATTTTTTTCAGCTTATATTATTCTCATAACCATCATCTCATTAATATAGCATACATACTATTTTTATAATTTTGTTTGCTTAGATTCCCTTATATTCAATCCAATTCTTATGTCATAATTTCTTCATATTAGTCATCTCATTGTCTAAATTTTCCCATTTAGGTACATCATCCCAATATTTTATGTCATGCATTATAAAAATACTATACTTTTTATCTGTCTTATAGTATCTAGATACAGTATAACATTCTTTTTAATCAGTTTATATTTTACTTATATATTAATAAAAGTTACATCAACCTAGTATTTTAACATTTAATATATTACAAAACATACTATATTACTTAAATCTCATTACCCTTCTTGTTATAAGGCCCCTTTATGTTCAAAATTCTCTGTTCTTTTAGCCATATTCAAACAAATGTTTATTAACGTAATAGTCCATCTGGTAGGGTGAGTCAAATCTCTTGTAACTGTCTCTGATCTTCTTTTGCCAAATAATTTTCCAAGTTGATGTAATCCGCTTACCCAACAGTTCCTATATTTTTATAAATGTTGTTAGGAATACAAAAGATGAAGTAAGTAAGATAAATTCTTTCTGTCCCCCAAACTTTAATAGTTCTCCTAATAATTCCATTTTTCTTGTTTTATCAGAATCTTGTAGATTTTTTCCTGTTGGTGTCAAATTGTAATTCTTTTCCTTGTGTTATTTCATCAGTTTGATCATACTTCTTCTAGTTTGTAATCTGCTGTCTGATTTGTTTATTCCTTTGTTGTTATTTCCTGAATATTTTTTAATTGTAGATTTAGATTGGAAATATGCTTATTTAAATCTTCAAAGTTGTTTCGAATTTTGTTGTGATTTGAATCTATTGTCATTTGTATTTCTCCTAACATTACATATATTTCCTCTGGGAAAGTATTTATTTTTTTTTATAATAATTTTATTGTGTTTTTTTCCTCAACATATGTTAATTTTTCCAATCAACAAGTTGTCTGGAGTTTGCTATGCTAATACATGTTCAATTCCTAATCCTTCATTCTTTTCTCTAGCCAAGAATAAAATAAGTTCCAAATTTGATAGTAGTCTGTATCTTCTTTATCTTTCAACCTCATAGTTAATCTGTCCATCTCTGCACATTCCAATATTTTCATGATTATTTCTTCCTCTGATGGCAGTCCTTCATTCTTCCAGTATTGTGCAAAAATTATTCTAGCTGCTGTAGTGATGTGTAAGATTAAATATAATTTCTGCTTATTAGTCTTTTCAGGCATAATACCTAGTAAAAAAAGTTCAGGTTTAAAATCCAACTTGTTCACCCAATATTTTTTCTAACCACATATGTATCTTTCTCCAATAAGCCTTTGCCTTACCACATGCCCACCAAATGTGATAATACGTGCCTATGTTATGTTTACATTTCCAACATCTATCTGACATATTTTTAAACATTTTTGCTAATCTTGCTGGCGGTAGGTGCCATCTATAAAACATTTTATACAGATTTTCTTTATATGAAGTTGACATTGTTAATTTATAGTTTCTCTCCCATAACATTTGCCATTTTTCTAATTCTATATTATAGCCAAAAAATTTTGCCCATCTTGTCATTGTTTCTTTCACTTGTTCGCTTTCCATATCTAAAATTAACAAAAAGTTATACATTTTCTTGATTAATTTCTCATCTGAGGTTAACAAAATCTTATCAAACACAGTTTGATCCTTGTAAAATCCATACATTTTTACATCTTTTTCATATCGACTTTGTATCTGTAAATGTGCCCACCAGGACAGGTTAATTCCCTGATTTTCCAATTCTTGTTTAGATTTTAATTTCCCATCAATATCTAGAATACCTTTATATGTCCATATTTTTTCAAAGTCTACCAAGTTTGGATGTATAAATGCCTCCAATCATTGATAACCACCCTGGAATTTTTAAATATATTTTAGCTTTAATTTTTTCCCATATGTTGACAAGGCATTTCTTATAAAATGATTTTGAAAGTACTTATGAACTGTTTTTCCCGTACCAAACAGTTCCTAGGTTCAAGCAACAGTCCAGGTGTTGTTGTTTTTTTCCTTTCAAACACTTTTTAATCTTATAGCTGACTCTTCCTTTGTACCCAGCTGTCTTCAAGGTTATTTGCAATTCAAAGGAGCAACTTTTTCTTTGTTTCTGGGCATTCTGCCAATTTCTGAGTCCTTATTGTTAGTGTTCTGTTCTCTGATTCTCCACTAGATGTCAGCAGTTATTACTTTTTTCAGTTTTTCTTTCAATCAAAAAGTTATTTTTGTTATATATTTTTATAATTCCATCAGAAATTTTTAGGGTATAATCTTGACAGTTTTTTAGTTCCTAGATTTGTCCAGACTGAAATATTTTAAATCAAAGTTTAATATATCTCTTTCTACCTTTTATGTTAATTTGCCGCTTCTGCCTGTAATGGAATGGGGATATATTCCCCTCCCTTCACTTCTGGAGGTTTTCTTGCTTTGTGGATCTTTTCAAGGATTTAAATAGTAGATAGAAGAAAGAAGATCAGTACTCTCACCAATTCTAAGCACGCTGTTCAACAATGTTTAGGTTCGTGCCCTGGGACTTCGGTTGCAAGCAGCTTGAGCTAGATGCTGATTTCACACTAGCCTTTCTTCTTGGGGTTTGGAGGGCTTTCCTCGGATCAAACAAAGTGATTGCCGTCGCTTCATGATAGACGGGGCGCCCCTCCTTCACAGTCACCTCTCCGGGGCAACTTCAGACCCATCGAGGTCCCCCAAGCAGGAAGAAACTAGCCGTGGGGAACGGAGGTCTACTCTCTCGTGGCCATGTGCTGCAAATGCAAAAACTGAAAGCCAATCTTTCAAAATTCTTAATAGGAAGACTGGAAGAAAACAAAAGGAATCCATAAATAAATACAGAATGGATGCATGCTAAACTTATCTCATTTTTTTCATAGTAGTATCTGTAAAAATGAGGTCAGCTGTTGAGAAAGCTAATACAATTGACTTGTCTTTTCTTGGCAACTTCAGAAAAAAGTAAGTATGCATTGAAGCCTACTATTTGCTATTGGATTGCTGAGTCAGTCACTTACTGTTCACCCTTACAGATCTTTTTTATTTTATTAAATGGAAAGTCCAAAAGTTTCCTTATATTTCAGAACTATTGATAAATGAGAAAAATGAGAATATACCAGATGTGAATTTTAACCCCTTTTCTTGTTAACTTTATTCCTAACAAGTAGCTTTGTTCATAGATGACACACTTATAACCCTTGACCTATTTTGCTTTTTATAAATAAAGATAATCAATTTCAATGATTAGGATCTAGTCAGTATATTCTACTAACAATATTGTCTTTTTTAAGTGACTGAAATTGTATCTACAGGAGGTGCAAACATTGCACATACCATTTAAAGCTCATTTGCAAATTATCCCTTCTTGAATAACTCAAAGATTTGCTGGTACAAGGACACACAACATCTAGGAGGGGAGAATCCACCAAAAATTAAGTTAGTTCATAGAGTTTTCTATGAAAAGTGCACAGATGTGTTTATTTTGTCTTTTCTCAATTTTGTACGCATGTCAAGTAGATTGAATTTCAGAATTTTTGAAAGGTTTATATATTTTGCCAAATGTACATTGTTTGCAATTTTGTGTACTACACAGTTTTGAAAACTATTTCTAATTTGTAAATTACTTTTCTTTTTATATATAATTTTTATTAATACTATATATGCAAAGGATGACTGAAGAATCTTAGTCACTATACACAGAGAGACATAATGGAAAAAATTAATAAAAGATTACACAATATAAAATAAATACCACAAGAATTTTATCTATTCGCTATTTTTTCACTAGTGTTTATATTTCCTATCATATCTGCTATTCATTTCACCATATTCCCTTCATTTTGATTATCTTTTTCATTCTCAGCTTCTGTAAACTCAAATTCTCTTCAGTTCCATCTGTGAAATTAAATTCAGCATGTGGCCCCTTATTATGTGAGTCTGCCTTCAAAGTTTCTCTGTTTTGCTTCAAGAGTGGATTTCTTGCTCGTTCCTGAGCCTTGTAGTCTGTTAGATCAGATCCTGAAGTCTGTTAGTTTTGTAGATCATTAACATTACGGAAGAAAGCCTCCCTGTTCACAAAATGATTACTATGGTAGATTTGAGCAGACACAAACTGTATGGTCCCTAAAAGTGCTGTTTAATCCCTGATGTCATGTGTCTGATTAATGAAATACTTCAAAGAACCTTCAGACATTTTTTTAACCTAAAAAGCCTTTATTAGTGTTACAGAGATGTCAGCACGGCATGGTGGAAATGCTAAGATCTGAATTTCCCCTCCTTTGCACATAACATTCCAGGCATTTCCCCTCCTCTATTTTGGGGTCATGATTCATATCTTCCAATTAACTTGGAGGGCAAAGATTCACTTCCATTTCTTTTTCCCGGGCTTTCCTTATATTCTCCTCCCCTTTCACTGTCACCTGATTTAACTCTAAAAATACCAGACAGTTCTGCATATATTGTCAAAGCAAGAATATTCAATATTAGCAGCGTTGACATCCAGCCCCCCTTACAAAAAGGACAGACCCTGTAATGTAGACAAAGCATATGTTAATGACTAGTTCTTGGTTTGTTGGATATTTCGTTTGAAACCTTTTGACGAGCCTGTCAGCTTTCACCTCACTGGATTTCACCCAGGTGGCTTCAGACAACGGGTATCCCTTCCATTGTACTAGGTACTGCAATTTCCCTTTAAAAACTCTAGAGTCAAGAATATGTTTCACTTCATAGTGGGTCTGTCCTGCAATTACGAGGGGCCCAGGTGCCTTCTTCGGGGGAGGTCTTAGAGTGAAGCCCCGATAAGGTTTCAACAAGCTACAATGGAAAACTGGGTGAATTTTCCCTAAAAGTCTAGGGAGTTTTAGTTCTACAGTGACCGGGTTGATGATCCTTACTATGGGGAAAGGCCCCAAGAGTTTTGGTCCCAATTTCTTGCTGGGCAATTTGAGGCGTAGATATTTAGTTGACAAATAAAACTTTTCCCCAACTTGGAATGTTCTTTGGGGAGCCCTCTTTCTATCAGCCGGCTTTTTATAGGTTTCAAAAGTCTTTTTTTAAAGCAGTTTTTGTGTTTCTCCAAACTTCTTCTCACCCTCTCACCCATTGGTCAAGTGTCTGGGAATCGGAGGGCATCTGAGGGTATTTAGGTATTGGGCTGAACTCTTTTCCTGTGGCCACTCTGAAAGGCGTGTAGCCAGTGCTGCTGTGCACAGAATTATTGTATGCCACCTCCGCAAAAGGGAGGTCAGTCCAGTTTGTCTGCTGGTAAGAAACGTAGCATCTAAGATATTGCTCCACCATTTTGTTAGCGGATTCTGCAGCCCCATTCGTGGCAGGATGAAAAGCAGATGATAAACCTTGAGATGATCCAATTAATTTAAGGAAACTCCTCCAAAACTTCGCTGTGAACTGTACCCCCCTGTCCGAAATTATTCATTTAGGGGCGCCATGCAGCCTGCAGATATGTTTCAGGAACAATTTGGTCAGTCGTTTGCAGGCAAATGGAAGTCCTTTGCAGGCAATGAAATGAGCCTGCTTTGAGAACAGGTCTATTACAGTCCAGATGACAGTATTTCCACTACTTTCACCTCTAGCGGCACAATACGAATGTCCCGGCCACCCCTCTTAATCAGGGCCCCAGTTCCGAAAACCAACAAAATAGAACCGGAGTCCTATTCCATTATTCCTAGCTGGAGTATTCCGGCAATCGGCCTGCTTTGAACGCCCTAATTTTTTCAAAGTAAACACTTTGGACACCCGGGACACTCAGTTAAGAGCATTGGGGGAGCGCTGAGAGGCAGAAGCCGGGACAGGCGGTAGCGCACCTCGCGGCGGACCGCCAGCTCGATCCCAAGATCCAACTACGAGCTATGTGCAAAGGAAGGGAAATTCAGATCTTAGCATGATGTTATGTGTCTGATTAGCGAAAGACTTCAAAGAACCTTCAGGCACTTTTTTAACTTAAAAAGCCTTTATTAGTGTTACAGAGATGTCAGCACGGTATGGTGGAAATGCTAAGATCTGAATTTCCCTTCCTTTGCACATAACATTCCAGGCATTTTCCCTCCCCTATTTTGGGGGTCATCTTCCAATTAACTTGGAGGGCAAAGATTCACTTCCATTTCTTTTTCCCAGGCTTTCCTTATATTCTCCTCCCCTTTCACTGTCACCTGATTTAACTCTAAAAATACCCGACAGTTCTGCATATATTGTCAAAGCAAGAATATTCAATATTAGCAGTGTTGACACCTATAATCAACCTAATTATTCTGTTTTTTTTCAGGCAGGTAGAAACACATCTCAACATAGCAGTGGCTTGTCCCAAACATGCTTTTTCAACTGGACTTTCCAGTTGCCTCTTGAAAAAGCATCTTTGGGACAGCTATGACCTGGATGACTGAGAATCTCCAGACATATAGCAATGGCTTGCACCACCATTCCCAGTCAGCATGGCCTAGCTGTGTTGGCTGAGTCAGTTGGTATTTACAGTCCAACACATCTGTAGGTGCCAGACTATGGGAACACTGCTTTTAATATAAAATGCATCAAGAGTATGAGGTAAATTATTTTCTATATACGGTTTTCTAAAACTACATATAGAAGTTAAAGTTAACTAAGCTAACTTAAAACTATAGTGACTGAAAGAACTTTGGTCATAGTTCCTTCTATGTACTAGACTTTGGTGTTTCAAACAAACTTTTGAGGATTAAGCAGTGCATATTAAGTGCTCACTAGTGGCAGGATTTTTTCAAGTTCTTCACTTGTATATTCAATTTGGCTCCAAGTACAAGAGAATTATGGCATATATTTCCATAACTTGTCAGCATTAATTGTATGCATTTTCCTAATGTTGCTTAAACTAAAAGGAAATCACACATTGGGTATGTACTATGGTATGTAGGTATGTGTTTAGATTTTGTTATGCACTGCCCTCTTCTGGTAAAAAACAATACATCATCCACATATTTTGAGGTACAGGGATGGTTTCTTATCTATAGGATCTTCTGTCATTCATTTTCCACTTGTTAGGAGAAATTGCTAGGAGGCAAATGCAAAAAAATGCTAGGAGGCAAATGCAAAAAATTCAGCAAGCCCTCCATTTTTCTATAGACAAATTCTAGAAATCCAATTCTAACGTCCACAGATTGCAGAGGTGGAAAGTACTTAGTCAGTCTCTATATTCACTAAGCTGGATATTATTCAAAGTTTTGCGAATCCCTTACCAAGAATAATTAAATATTTATTATTTTTAATCAAGCTATAGGCTCCTCCTATGAGGGTCCCTTTCTGAGTGCCAGGCTGGTATCCTTTTCCAAGTTATAAAAAATACAACGGTAGCTATATTGGTCATAAGAAAACAGAGTTTAAAATCCACAGAAATAATTTATTAACCATTTTAATAATGGCAAGATTTTGAACTGATTAAAATTCTTAAACATGCTAAATAGCAACAGAAACATGTGAAATAGTAACCGATATTTTTAAAAAGATTAAATAAATTGTGTATACTTAGGAGCAATTTGAATGTTTTCTGCTATAATGTGGGACAAAAAAGAGGTGTTGAGTTTCAACAAAGGCACTCTCTAAGGAGGTTAGAAAGAAACAATTCGCTTACAGAAGAAATACTGTGAAAGGTCTCTTTTGAGAATCTTAATAGATAAGCCAAAATGTTGTAGTGGACAACATATTGGACTTAACAATTGGGAGACCAATTCTAGTCCTCTGTCAGCCATGGAAGAGATCATGGAGTGACTTCAGGTTAGTCACTATTTCTCATTCAATCTATCCCCTATGAAAAAATGGGGAAAAA